TATCTATCTATCTATCTATCTATCTATATATGTATCCCCTCCATCTTCTTTATCCAATCATCCATTGGTGGACACTTGTGCTGTTTCCATTATTACAAATACAAACTGTGCTACTATAAATATGGGTGGTCATTTATCACGATGGTATGATGCTTTTTAATTTTTTCAGGAGAATACCAAATAGAATAGCTGGGGCAAATGCAACCTCTATTCCTCATTTATTCAAGGAGTCTCCACACTCATTCCTAAAATGGTTGCACCAGTCTACACTCCCACCAACAGAGTAGAAAGGTTCCCTTTTACTCACTCTCATCCAGGATATGTTATTTGTTGAATTCTTGGAAATAGGAATTAACAAAGATATTTTTATTTAAGGCTATGCAATTGTTCTAATTTTGATCAGAGTGTTTGGTGTGGTTTGGATATGATCCTATATTAACTACACCAATGTTAATCCTAAAATGGGAAAATATATTGAACATGATTTCTGGGCAACTTCTGGAAATGATCTGAAGGTTTGCATCAGTGCTAGAAGAGGACTAATTTTTTGAGAGCATTTTTCCTTGAATTCTTTGACTATTTTACTATATTTCTTGAGTAATGTATTTGAATATGCATTTATTTTAATACATGTTTGAATATACAATGTCCTTTAGTCTATTGTGTAATGTAAAGTTCTAAGAGTAACAGAATGATCAGATAATAGGTCCTGGTCTAACTAAACTACATAAAACTTAGACCTAGAAGAGGGAATTTGGATCAGAGGTGCATGAGAAGCTCCTTGTTTAGATATTTTCCACATTTGCTGCTCCTACTTAGGTTTAAACACCAGAATTCTGTAAAGCAGAGAGCTATGGCAAATTGGAGGAAGAGAAATCCACAGGGCCCACAACCCCTGTGCTTGGAACTCAGTGTAGGAATGAAGGAAACTAGGGGCTAGTCTTTGTTGAGGAAAGCATGAATACATGGACAGGTATTTTTGCAGAGCAAGAGGAGTCACATTCTCAAGCCGAGGAGCCCGGGTCACACATGGTGGAAGAGAGGCTGACTTGGTCATCATGTTCTCCTCACAGTTTTCACCTTACGACCTTTCTGTGAGTCACTTGTCACTAAACAGCTACATGCTCTAGAATAGCTGAGTCTGTGACTCTAGTGAGAGCTACGGTTCAGGACTGAGTTAAGAAACTAAAATCCTAAAAAAAAAAAAAGAAACTAAAATCCTGTCATCTGGGCAGTATTCATTTTGGGAAGGAATCCCTATCTCCCTATATGACAAAATCTTAACCCTAGGATATGACATAAAGTTGTTCTTTTTATGTATTTAGTACAGGGTCTACACGGTCTCACTATGTAGATCAGACTTGTAGTGATTCTCCAGTTTTCAGCCTCCCAAGCACTGGGATTACAGATGCGCTTCACCATGCCCAGTCTCAATCACCATCTCAGTGCACCCCCGGGGTAGTGCCAGCATGTCACATCAGGGGTTGAACCCGGGCTACTGCATCTGCCTAAACAGGTGCTTTAGTCCACTGAGCTATCTGGCTGGTCCTATAAAGTTCTATGCTTATATTACCCTTTAAAAACTTAGCACCAATTTGGATCAGGTAAAAGTCTAATTTTAAAGCAATATTTGTATATATCCATGTTTTTTTTCTCATGTGTCAAAAGACAAATGGCACATTTTATGATTTTCATAAATAAATAAATAACTCTTTTAAATTGCTTCTCACAGAGCAATTACCGTGAAGCCTTGGGTTAATTAGCTATCACCCATTTCTATTAGTTTTCTGCCTGAACAGCTTCCAATTTGAACTTCATAACAAAATGAAAGTCTGGATCCCTTCAGCTGCCGAATGATCTATGGACTGCTGTATATATCCTTGGGCACCACAACCCTGATGGCTTTAGAGAAATGACATATGTTCTAAAATCACTGGCTCAAGATTGCCCACTGATTCCTTATGGGTCTGAAAATTCATGCTCTTCATATTCTTTCTTTAATCTCCTTTAGAAACATTAAGTATTATACCTACTTTGAGCTAACACCTCTCGATTTTTCATTTTATTTTCATTTTTGTTAAGACATTGCCTACCAAGATTTAAGTCAGTCACTCATAAGATCAAAGAACATAAGATGAGAAATACACAGTTTTTAAAAGTGAACAAAACTTCCCCTTACTTACAGATGTTTTATTTATTTTTATCTTCTCAATTTTATTTATTTTATTTTTAATAGATTGCAAACTGAAAATAAATTATTTACAAACATAAATGGATAAAAACTATTTAAAATAAAAATGAAGAAAGAATTTACAGATCAGTCATAATAGTTCACTGTGTCAAAATCAAGAAACTTATATTC